AAAACTTTAAGTTATTAGCACATCGCACAAAGGTGAATTATTTTCCATTTGTGTCTATGATGCATGTAAAAGTCTTCCATACATCAGACTTGATGTGGGTTTCCTAACAGTAAACTAAGTGTTTTCTAATGCAAGCTGAAGGACAGTGCATCTTCACTTTGCTCTGCCATGGTAAAACCTGCGCTCCGTCCTCCTGACGCTCTAAGGACCGTTATGCAGATGATGCACGCACAGACTGTGTGAATAAAATGCAGCTGCAGAAAGCACTGATCATGCATTCATCATGTGTAACAGTCATGAGCTTTGGCTGTACCGCTGCTCAATAAGAATGAGAAAATCACAGATATGCTGTTCTGAAATAACGTCAAGACTCAAGAGTGATATTGTTAGCCCACCTGCTCCCATTTAAATGACCTACTAAGCTTCTTAGCGCCACAGACATATGACCCTGCAGCCCAAGACCGACTCCTCACTGAAGCTGAGCAGGGCTGAGGCTGGTCAGTGTCTGGATGGGAGAGCACATGGGAACACTAGGTTGCTGTTGGCAGTGGTGTTAGTGAGGCCAGCAGGGGGCGCTCTGCCTGTGGTCTGTGTGAGTCCTAATGCCCCAGTATAGTGAAGGGGACTCTATACTGTCTTTCAGATGAGCTGTTAAACTGAGCTCCTGACTCTCTGTGCTCATTAATAACCCCCTAGGCCTGATAGAAAAAAGTACAAGTAAAACACACACACACACACACACACACTAAACATTAGATGTGATTACATATTGTCTAGACATTTAAACTTGACAAATTTCTTTTTCCACAGAGTTTGTTAATATTATTTCTAATGGAATACAGTAAATGTAAACGTGTAAGAAGACTGATGCTTCTGACACTGATCTGCAAGCAATGAATCTAATGTTTAGTGTGTGTGTGTGTGTGTGTGTGTGTGTGTGTGTGTGTGTGTGTGTGTGTGTGTGTGTGTTTTACTTGTGCTTTTTTCTATCAGGCCCACTTCCGCATGAAGAAGGATTTCCCAGATCTGACTCAATGGAAAGATTAAGTTACAGCATGTGAAGTGAACTTCAATATGATTAAGAGTTAATATTTTGCACACTGCAGAATGAATGAGAACATCGTCGCATCATATACAACAACACTATCAGAACTTACCTATGTTTGCAGCAACTGTTTGTAAATAATTTTTTAAATAATTTTTTGTAAAGTCCACACTAGGTGTTACGAGAACCAGCGATTGCTTTCCGGAGATCGCTGGTTTCCACTATACCAGTGTAACCGGTTCTGCGTTGTGTTTTCTTTGTTTTATTAAGGAATAACCAGTCGGAGATCTGCAGTTGTGACGGCTCTTTACTCACTGAGAATAAATCAAAAAGCACAGCTTTTACAGTGTGTCTTCGCCCTTACAGCTTTTCTATTAAAAGTAAAGTGCAATACATTTAGCATTCACATGCTTCAGTTAGGCTAAAGTCAATCAAAACCTCAATTTAAGTGATGAGACAAAAATAATGAAATATATGTGAAAAATAAAGGTGTAAATATTATTTAAACATGAAAACTGGCTTTAAAAGTTATTTATAAAGTAAAGATGATTAAATATTAATTGGAGCTTAGCCAGGCCCGGATTGGCTAATCGGGAGGACCGGAAGAATTCCCGGTGGGCCGGTCCGTTTTTTGGCCGCGAGGGCCGGTGTCCCTAGCTCCAGAATCTGTTGCTCTCAGCAGTCACACTTTTTAAATTAATCATTTTTTTTTTACTTGACCACAGTCTTCTTATTTATTATTTTACCGCAGCTCTGCTCTTTTATCTCTTTTCATGCACAGCTGTTGTGGTCCAGTGGTTAGCATGTTAGATTACGACACTGCGGTTCTGGGTTTGATCCTCATCTGAGTAGTTTTTTTTTCATTTTTCTTGTTAAGACATATAATACTGTTAGGGTTGTTGAACATTTGAAGTTCTAAGGCAGCTGTTTTCTCAAAAAAAGACTTTGTAGTGTCATTAGAAACTGGATTGGAAATGACCTTATTTTAATATAGTTTGTCGTGAACGAGGTGGGCCGGTCTGAGGCTTGAAACTCCAGCGCTGAAAAAGAGTCCCACTCCGGCCTTGAGCTTAGCAGACACCCACCTCTCTCATGCGTAGTCAGTGCAGAAAGGGAAGAGGCGGGCGCAAAACAGGAAATTAAGCATTGTGAGTTCCCTTAGAAATTTAAAGGAAAAGACACACACTAACAAACACCTCAGGTACACTTACTAACACATTAGATAAAATACATATTTTTTGTAATTCTATACTTAAAGCGAATTATAATTTTCATTCCTGTTACACCAGGACTACATTTCCGCATATCACAGGACTACATTTTCATACATGCACTTTTTCCAGTCACGCACGCTTGTTCATTCATCTACCCTGATTACAATCACCAGTTGAACCTCGTCACAGACTGACAGCATACCATACATAAGCCACTCATGAACCCATCCAGTTTGCCCAGTCTTGTTTTCCCTAGTGTGACATTACAACGCGTTTCTCCCTGTCTTGTTTCTCTGTGTTAGACCCTAGCCTTGTATTCCCTGTTTTCCTGTTTAGCCGCCTGCCTTGTGATCTATTGCCTGTTATACCGACTACGATTCTGGACTGCCTATATATACTCGTTTGCACCTGTATGACCACTGCTTGCCTGACGCTGAATAAATCTGCATATTGGATCTTACCTCAGTTGTATCTGTCCTTCTCTCCCCCGGTCATTACACTAGGGGCTTAGTAACTACTGGCGAGCTTGTAACTCAATTTGTTCCTACTTTGGTTGCACCACATGTTCTTAAGCCAAAGCGTAGTTAGTAGGTTGTAAGCTCTGAGTAAAGTGATGCACAGTCACATTGGATGACCTAATATTCCATAATAAGCATATAAATCATTAAACTGCTTTAACATTCCTCATTTATTTCTATGATTTATTGCATTATAGCACTTACAGCATTCATATTTATATATAATGCATCCAAGTAAAACCTTTTTTTCATAGTAGACCTATACACTACAGTCAATCACTAAAGATAAATAAAGCACATATCTGGATCACGAAATACACATGAAGTTTTCAAAATATTAAAGTTGAAAGTATTTCAATGGCTTACACATTAAAAAGAAAAGAACAGGAATAACTCAGTCATAAAGAATCTCTCATTTTAATTGATGGATAACACACTTTTTAAAATAACTCTTTAACAAACCCAAAAACGTAAGATTTGTGGGGAAATTATGGCTGTAAGTAGAGGGAGATCATTCCTTATCATCTTGAGCTACTCAATCTAAACTAATCTTACTGTTGTCTCTTCTATACCGTAATACATGTGTAAAGTCTGCCGTAAATATTTAGTTGGAAAGTAGCATTATGTTTAAAATAAATTCAGTGGTGCAATATCAAAAAATGTATCTGTGTGTAAGCTGCAACTTAGTTCCCGTTTACGTGACAACTAGATTACATTTTAACTTGCACCCTGCTGCTGCAACCTGGTCCAGATGTATACTGCTGTTTTTTTTAATGGCAACAAGTGTATCTTAGTCTTTTGTATATTATATTATATTATATTATATTATATTATATTATATTATATTATATTATATTATATTATATTATATTATATTATTATTATTATTATATTATATTATATTAAATTATTTTATTATTATATTATATTATTATTATATTATATTAAATTATTATATTAAATTATTATATTATATTATATTATATTATATTATATTATATTATATTATATTATATTATATTAAATTATATTATTATTATATTATATTATATTATTATATTATATTATTATTATATTATTATATTATTATTATATATTATTATATTATATTAAATTATATTAAATTATATTATCATTATATTATATTATATTATATTATATTATTATTATTATTATTATTATTATTATTATAATATTA